TATTTATAATACCCCAAATATGGAAGCAACTTAGGTGTACATTGATAGATAAATGGATAAAATTGTGACTATATGTTATGGAATATTACTCAGGAATAAAAAGGAATGAAATCCTACCATTTTTGACAACATGGATGAACCTAGAATGTATTATGTTAGGTGAAATAAGTCAGAGAAAGATAAATACTCTATAATTATATTTAAATGTGAAAAATTAAAAAAAGAAGAAATGAATAAATAAATAAAACAAAATAGAAAAAGATCCATAAATGTAGAGAACAAGTTGATAGTTGCCAAAGCAGAGGGGGTAAGGAAATGGATGAAGATAAGAAAAGATTGGATAATGGGATGATAAAAACAATGAAAAGTTATTTTAAAAGATAACAACTATAATTCGATTTAAAAGTTGAAAAATAAAGTTGTAGAAATTTTCCACGAAGTGGAACAAAATTACTAAGAATAGGAAAATGGACAAGAAATTTTTTTTTTTAAAAAGAAGTAAAACTGTCACTATTTGCAGATGACATAATATTATACAAAGAGAGCCCTAAAGACTCCACCAAAAAACTGTTATAACTAATAAATTAATTCAGTAAAGTTGTAAGGTACAAAATCAATATGTAAAAATTAGTTGTGTTTCTATACACTAACAACAAACTACCAGAAAAAAATGAAGAAAATATTCTTATTTACAATTGCATCAAAAGAATAAAATACCTTGGAATAAATTTAACCAAAGATGAAAGAACTGTACACTGAAAATTATAAGACATTAATGAAAGAAATTGGAAAAGACACAAATAAATGAAAAAAGATATTTTCTGCTCATAGACTGGAATAATTAATATTATTAAAATGTTCATACTGCTCAAAGCAATGTAAAGATTCCTTTACATTGCAATCCTTATCAAAATTCCAATGGCATTTTTCACAGAAATATAAAAAACATTTCTAAACTTTGCATGAAAAAAGACCATAAATATCAAAGCAATCTTGAAAAGATCAAACTAGTATATTATTTTATGCCAACTACAATTGAAAAAAAACTTCATCAAATTGTTCAATGTAAATATGAGCAACTAATTATCTATTATATTTCAATAAGGCTGGAAAAAACATTTAAAATAAAATAAATGTGTAAAAAAGGATCAAAGCTGGAAGCATCATGCTATCAAATTTGAAACTACATTACAAAACCATAGTAATCAGAACAGTATGGTATTGGAAAAAAAAAAAAAAAAACAGACACTAACATCAATTGCACAAAATGAGAGCCAAGAAATAAACCCACTATATATTGTCAATTAATTTATGACAATGAGTAAAAAATGTACAATAGGCTAAGGACAGCCTCTCCGATAAATGGTAATGGGAAAATTAGATAGCCACATGCAAAAAGAAAGAAAGAGAGAGAGAGAGAGAGGAGAGAGAGAGAGAGAGAGAAAGGAAGAAAGAAAGAACGAAAGAAAGAACGAAAGAAAGAAAGAAAGAAAGAAAGAAAGAAAGAAAGAAAGAAAGAAAGAAAGAAAAACTGAACTAATATCTTACTCTATCTACAAAAATTAATTCAAAATGGATTAGTCTTGAACATAAGACCTGGAACCATAAAACTCCTGGAAGAAAACATAGACAGTAAGCTCCTTGATATCAGTCTTAGCAATAATTTTTTGATTTGACATCATCAAAAGCAAAGGCAACAAAAGTAAAAATAAACAAGTAAGACTACATCAAACTAAAAAGCTTCTGCACAGCAAAGAAAACCATCAACAAAATAAAAAAGCTACCTTGTAACTAGAAGAAAGTATTTGCAAATCATTTATTTGATAAGGGGTTAATATTCCAAATACATAAATACTCATGCAATTCAATAGCAAAAAAAATAAATAAATAAAAAGGAACAGATGGATTATTTGAGTTCTACTGCATGCTAGCTTGATGCTGAAGGAGCTATCTGAACTAGAGGACAGTGATGGTAATAATAACAGTTAATATTTATTGATCATTGTCTATATGCCTTTCTATATTTTAAGTGTTTTTTTTATGTTTTAGCTCATTGACTTCTCAAAACACCCCTATGAAATAGATATTATTCTTATTTTCACTTTATAGATCAGAGAAAAAATATGAAAATTGGTCAAAGTTCCACATCTCATAATTGTGATCAGGCTGGCAATCTTACTTCTCTACAAATTTGTTATATCAGAAGTGAAACATATTTTACCCATTCTTTTATTTTCAAAACATACTCAATTAAAAAATGTATCCTGAAAAGTGGGCAGAGAATCTGAATAGACACTTTTCTGAAGAATACATACAAATGGTCCATCCATAAGTACATAAAAAGGTGCTGAACATTAATAGTCATCAGGAAAATATAAATCAATACCACAATGAGATATTTTCTCATACCTGTTAGAATAGCTGTTATCAAAGAAATGACAAGTGTTTGTGAGTATATAGAGAAAATGAAGCCCTTGTGCATTGTTGTTGGGATTGTAAATTGATGCATATACAATGGAAAACAGTATGAACATTTCTCAAAAACTTAAAAATAGAACTACCATATAATTAAGCATTTCTACTTCTAGATATTTATTTAAAGAAAGAAAAAACATTAACTCAAAGAAATAAATACACTCTCATGTTCATTTCATTATTATTTACAATATCCAAGACATGGAAGCACCCTAAGTGTCCATTGGTGGTTGACTAGATAAAGAATAATATATATGATATAAATCTGCCATAAAAAGAAGGAAATCCTTGGGTGGATAGTATTATTTTGAGAGTAAATGAAATAAGTTAGACAGAGAAAGACAAATACCTTATATTCTCACTTATATGTGCAATCTTATAAAAACCTCAGCTACAGAGAACAGATTAGAAATTATCAGAGCAGAAGTGGGGGATGGCAAAACTTCCAGTTATCAAACAAGTCATGAGGATGTAATGTACAGTATGGAAACTATAGTTAATAATACTGTAATATATGTTTTAAAGGTGCTAAGACAGTAGATCTTAAAATTTTTTATCACAAAAAAAGTGTAACTGCAGTGATGGACATTTACTAGACATATTGCAGTGATTATTTCATAATATATACTTACATATTATCATTATATTATATACTTGACACTAATATAATGTTATATGTCACTTATATCTCAATAAAATTAACTTTTTCTATTTGACTTAATTCACTTAGCACAATAATTTCAAGATCCATCCATAGTGTTGCAAATGGCAATATTTCATCTTTTTTTTATGGTTAAGTAATATTTCACTGTATATATGTACCACATCTTCTTTATCCAATCATCTATTGAAGGATACTTCAGTTATTTTCATGTCTTGCCTACTGTGAATAATGCTACAATGAACATTGAAGCAAAATAAGTCAGTCAGAAAAAGTTAAGACCATGTGATTTTACTTATATGTAGGATATAAAACTGAAAGCAATAAACAAACAAAAAACCCGAAAAGTCATAAATACAGACAACAGTTTAATGGTTACTAGAAAGAAAGGTGGGGAGGGAGAGATAGGTAAGGGTAGGTAAAGGGGGTCAAATATATGGTGATGAAAGAAGATTTGACTTGGGATCACATAATGTATTATTGAATTGTACACTTGAAACCTATATAATTTTTCTTAACCAATTTATCACTTCGATAAATTTAATAAAAAACACTATTCATTCTTAACCAATGTCACTTCGATAAATTTAATAAAAAACACTATTCATTGTAAAAAAATGCATAAAGTACAAAAAAACTACAATTATACTACCAATAAACACTATTGACATTTTAAAAAATAAATAAAATTAAAAAAGGAAGAATCCTAACATGTTACTGAGCCCTAATAGATATGGAAGAACTGACTCTGGAGCATCAAGTGACATTGCATCTGGAACTGTCCATTATGACTTGGGTTCTGTCAGGCCCACCAAATCATACAGGTCCAGCAGCAGTTTCTCCTCTGATGGAAATGGTCATCAGGATGGGGCCAGAGATGGACCAGAGGGCCTGAACTGCACAAGCAAGCAGCTCAGGGAAACAAGGAAGAATAAAGTTTTTCTTTCTACACTCCATGACTCCCACTGGCTTAATACCCAATTACATCTGGAGTGAAGAGAGCTTCATGTAAATATATAAAGTTAGCTAAAAATGAACAGTGAATTTCACTATCTAAGGGAGAGCAATCAGCCGTGGGGACTTCCTGAGATTTCATTCAGGGGCAGGAGAATAATATGAGAAGAGAATAGATGGAAGAGAGATATCACATGCTTTCTTGTTTGAAATCACCAAGTCCATGTTATTCATTATACTAATGACTTAGCTCTTATTTTTCTCTTTTAAGTTAAAGTGTGGGATTTGTACACATTTAGTTGTGGTGATTAAAATATCCAATTGTAGGAGCTAAATACACAATTAATTATATTGATACCAAAGAGTATGAGCTTATGACATCTAATATATATTCAAATAAATAAACCTCATCATCTGCTAGTTTTTAACACGCCCCTTTTCTTAACATCTTGCATTACAAAAGATACCAGATTATTTTAATATTATTTTGTAATTTACATAACCCTATTCATTTGAAGTAGTTTTTAATTATTAGATTTCAAATAATCTTTCTACTTTAAATAGTAAGGAGACTCAAGAGAGATGAGTTTATTTTTAAACCTGGACATGGATTCTTATCTTATTTACAGGAAATGTTTAATAACTTCAGAGATTTCAGATTAAGTGTAATTTTTAAAGTGTAAAATAATATTTTCCCTTAATTAATGCTCCAAATCTATTTATAAAAAAAGTACAGAAACCTTCATCAGAGGCCTGAAAATCACATATAAAAGCATTATTTACATAAAACCACAATCACCTTGGTTTCCTGAAACCAGACAACACCAGCTTGGTACTTAAAATTTGACCTGTAGTTTTGTCCATGATCACAAACATGCCTTTTTCACAGTTGGGAAGTATTGCTCATCTACTAAGATGCCACAGATCTCCCCATCAGCTTCCTGAGAGCTGCCACCACCTCCTTGTTCCTTAGGCTGTAGATGAGGGGATTCAGCAATGGGGTGAGGATGTTACTGAAAACAGAGAGAGCCTGGTCCTGCTCTGGACTATGCGAAGAAGTGAAAGTCATGTAAATGAATATGTTTGGGCCAAAAAAGAGACTCACCACAGTTAGGTGGGAAGAGCAGGTTGCCAGGATTTTTTTCCTGCCCTTGACAGAGTTCATACGAAGGACAGTGAGAAAGATGAGAGTATAAGAAGCTGTGATGAGGCTGAAAGGCAGAACCAGCAGCACAATACTTGTCACCACCACCACTAACTGATACACTGAAGTGTCCTTGCAGGAGAGCTTAATGAGGACTGGGACCTCACAGAAGAAGTGGTGGATCTCCCTTGACCCACAGATGGGAAAATGCATAGGGTAGATTGTATGGATAAGCGAACTTATAGAGCCTCCAGTCCAACATCCAGCAACCATCTGGAGACAGAACCTGGGACTCATGATAGTGGGATAGCGCAGGGGGCTGCAGACGGCCATGTAGCGGTCATAAGCCATGAGAGTCAAGATGAGGCACTCAGACATTCCCAACATAAGGAAGAAGAAACTCTGGATCCCACAGCCAATCCATGATATGGTCCTTTTCCCTGTGAAAAAGTTAGAGGCCATTTTTGGAACAATGGTGGAAGTTAATGTCAAGTCAATGAGGGAGAGCTGACTGAGGAGTATGTACATGGGCGTGTGGAGCCGGGAGTCCTCCCAAATCAGGACGATCAGAAGCATGTTTCCCAGGAAGGCAAGAATGTAGATGAAGACAATCATGGAGTTGAGAATCATGGAATTCCAAAACTCAGGAAAGAGTCCCACAAGGATGAAATCAGTTACTGAGGACTCATTCCCATCCACCATGCCTCTAAAAGTAATGTGACAGGGTCAGGGAACAAATCAAATGGATTGGAACAGCTGACATTCAGTACAGATCTTATATTAATATGTGGATCTAAAATTTTATGTCTTTTTTCTCAACTCTGGACTCACAATATTGCCATCATCTCATCTTACTATATATTATTTAACAATTGCTTAAATGTTTGTTAAATACAGGATATTGAAAACAATGATCAACTTCAGTGCTTCTTAGCCTCTGCTGAGTTAACTTTTCCATCCTTCCTTCCTTCCTTTATGGGGTTTTTAAAAATAGATTCACAGATATGTGCAACCACCATTGGAGTCAATCTTAATCCCTTCCCTTCTTTTCTTCTTTCTTCCTTCCTTCCTTCCTTCCTCCCTCCCTCCTACTCTTCCTTCCTTCCTTCCTCCCTCCCTTCCTTCCTTCCTCCCTTCTTTCCCTTCCTTCTTCCCTCCTTTCTTTCTTTCTCTTTCTCTCCTTCTTTCTCTTCCTTCCTTTTTTCCTTCCTGAGGTAACAAACATTTGTCACGGTTAAAAATACTGGTCAACTGATGGTGAAAGTCATGTTACATAAGTAAGTGAGAAACAAATTGGAATTCTTACACAAATTTTTATTTAATTATTTCGAACTATATAACTCTGAAAGATTGCAATTTTCTCATTTCTGAATAATTTTATGGGATTTTTACCTGTGTATTTATATTATGCCACATAGCTTGGCTAGCTATTTCCTTCACTAAGGTGAGAAGCCATATGTATTTATGTTGAATCCATCTGTCTGCTAAAAATACATGATTTATTCTTCTAGAATGAGGATAACCAAAGGACTTTATCATAAAGAGAGTATAAGCTATGACACTCTAAGTGCTCAAAACCATTCGCTATTATTAGAATCATCATTATTCTTATAGCTGCCCTGTTCCACAAATTGTTCTAGATCTGTACTTCAACCTTCAAATATACAAGCCATAATATTCATCAAGATTATCAGTGTATAACTTTATAACTTTGAGAACTCAAATGGAAAAGAGTTTAAAATTACACATAATAGAATAAAAAAGGTAATATTTAATAATTTTGAAACAAAATATTAGATTATAAAAAGCATCCATATATGTTTAATTTATTGTTACTTAATATTTTTACTTATCTTTTTTGTGACTACTTATTAAGTAATGACCAACTGCCTAAAATCAAAGTACTCTTGGTTGTGTTTTAGGAAATAAAAAATATGGAGCATAGCACAACCACACTACAGACAATATTCTTTGAATAAAATAATCAAGTGTAATTTAGTAAAGATTTCTAGATTATTTATTAAGTTGTTCCCACAAGAACAAAACAATTTTATCAATTAATTCAATTTACTGAAATAAATTTTTATTGAGAGTCATCTCTGAACATAATTTCAGTTATTTCTTTAATATAGAAGATAAATCTACTCAAAATGAGGAGCATGTTGCTATAATAACCTATTGAGTTTTACTGACATTTTTATAAAGTCTTTGAAATTATCACTATTTATATCATTTTAGGAACTTGACATGCCCTAATGTTAGCATGATTTGATGTTGTGTCTATGTGGCTACATACAAGGCAGATTGAAATGTAATCATAACTCAGTCACCAAACAGTTTTTCTAAAAGCAACCAGATAAATTCAAGAGATTATCAAGAAATTCATTTGGTTACTAAATTTAAGCACATTATTGAATATATCAGATTAAAGTCTAAAAATGCTGTAATTTTTATACTCAATCTTTTAAATTAACATCATAAGTGATGCCTGCTCCATATTATGCTAGATTTGATCAGACAAGAGTATTTATGACACCATTATTTAATTGATGTGATTCATGCAGGTAGTCAAACAGAAATATTATAATTCCATATAGCTTTACCCTACCCTAAATCCTGGGAAACCTACAAAATACATATCTAAGAATGTCACAGATTTTTTTTCCTTTTACAAATTATCTACAGAATTTCCATTACCAGGCAAGGTTGAAGATGTTTTTATTTTCCTTTTTTCCAATTTGGTATCTACCTCAAATTCTATTTATCTCCTCTAGTCACCTCTGCCTCTTGGAAATGCTGACAACTTCTAGATTTTTTCTGTTATCAGGTGCTCCTTCTCATTGTGTAGCATTAGGCTTCTTTTGAATAGAGAAATGTATGCAATTGGTTTGATGTTGATAGAGAGTCATACACTTAGGAAATGTGCCCAGTGACTATGATTCTACAATATTGTGTATATTAAATACTGGTTGGTGTATCTGTTAAGATCTAGGTTGGTAGATTGCTTAGCAATTTGTCATTAAGGGTCTGGGGACATTTGTAGTGAATGATCTAAGGGAATACAGTCCCCAGACTTTAATTAACTTTTGTCTCAAACCATAATAGTGAGCCTTAGAAATTAGGTAAAATTGTAGATCACCTTCTTACACCATATACAAGAATAAACTCAAAATGGATTGAAGACTTACATGTGAGTTCCAAATTCATAAAATTCCTGGAAGAAAACAGCTAGTAAAGCCTCTGACATTGTTTTAGTAATATTTTTTTCTGATGTATTTCTTTGGGCAAACAAAACAAAAGAAAAAAATAAGCAAATGGGACTATATCAAACTGAAAAAGTTTTGCACAGCAGAGGAAACCATCAATAAACCAAAAAGACAATCTATTAACAAGGAGAAGATATTTGCCAATGACATATTGATAAAGGGTTAATATCCAAAATTTATAAAAACTCATTCAACTCAATATTAAAAAAACATAAACAAATGAAATAATTAAAAGTGGGCAAAGAATGTGAATAGTGATTTCTCCAAAGAGGACATATAGATGGCTATGTACAATAGCCAAGACATGGAAACAACCAAAGTGTCCTTTAATGGGTGACTGGATGAAGGAGATGTGGTACATATAAACAATGGAATATTACTGAGCCATAAAAGGATGAAATACTGCCATTTGTGACAACATGCGTGGATCTTATTTCCTATTTATTTATTTATTTATTTATTGACATTGGTTAACGAAATCCAGTAAGTTTCAGGTGTGCAATTTAACAGTAAGGCATATATGTATATTGCAGTGTGTTCACCTCCCCTAGTTAGATTTCTTTCTGTCACCACGTATTTGACCCTTTTACCCCATCTATCACCCTCCTCCTCTCACTCCCTACCCTCTGGTAACCACTAATTTATTGTCCATGTCATGAGTCTCTGTTTGTTTGTCATGTTCATTTGTTGCTTTTAGGTTTATATCCCACATAACATCAATGTCAT